AGGGATATAGTGCATCATTCTTGAAAAATGAATGTGTATAATTTGTTTCACCTATTAAAAGTGCAGTTATATTCTTAGAGCGACTGACGTGATGATATTGATACAAATGCACCAGAGGCGAAACGCACAAATAGACAGATCAAATTTCAAGTAGAAAGTTTTATATTTCTTATAAATATTTGTGCTACTACCATTCCCAGGCCAGATTAAATGGCCTTTCTGATTTATCGAAGAAACTGCAAGTACTACACATGTATATATTTGTACTTATCTTAATTGTTTAGCTGTTATAAGCATCGGCATAGAAATATGTGTAACAAGGCGCAAACAGCAAAAATATCGCTATACTCGTATTTGTTTCAGGCTATAAGTCGTATCACATAGGTCTGCTTCAAATCGGTTGGCGGAGTTGTTTGTATGGTTCAAGGTAGAGGAAACTTCCAACTGATTCACCTTAAATTTTATCTCTAATTGCAGGAACGATTTTTAGCATACTGATACCAAATGTAGACAGCAGTCTATATTTTTATGCTTATGTAGTGACACAAGTCAGATGTATCGATTACACCTCAAAATGAACATATATTCTTTTTTGAATTCTCATTTATCGCTTAGCTAAATTTCTGCTACTCATGTTTGCACTTTATTCATAGTGTGTAAAGCAAAACTTAAAATACCCCCTATTTTAGTCTCTTTAGAAAACAAATCTATCACCCTAGTTAATAGTTTAATCTACAAACCTTCCAAGATAGTTTCTGAAAGAACAAGCATCGCATTCTGAACTTATACACATACATCTCACCCAACGAAGTTTGTCCGAGCTAAATTAAGGAGTTCTCGGTATAGCGTGGGATGGCCATATCAGGAAATGGGGAGAGCGTAGCAAGCTTAAAATCACAGAACTGTTTATATGCTAATGTTGAGATAACAGTTACGAAGTGCAAAGCGCAAGACAGTTGTAATAGGTATCAAGACTCTATAAATAGTGAATGTAGTTGTGCCGGGGAGAAAACTTTTCAGATTCTGTCCGTAAAAACACAACAGAAATGTTTTTGAAAGTTCAGTTAGAAGGGGCTAAGTAATGATATTGAATAATCCATCAAGGCCACTTTACTACCGAGCAATTGCAAGGTGATGTCAACCTAATAATCAAAAACTGAAGCTTACCGTACATGCACGAAAACTAGAGACAGTACGTTAAACTGCATTCGCATGAAGCCAATACTACTACAATAAGGAGAGTGTGGCTGTCGGTCAGAAATCCAATTCGCGTAGACCATCTGCGCAATTATACAAATGCACGTAAAAAGTATCAAAATGAGCTTATCTTTGTCATGAAGATTTTTCTCTAGTTATCACCTAATGGTTCTATCAGTGGCTGCCGATTTTTTCAGTTTTTATCCTATTTTACTACCCTCATCTGCAGTTAATGCGAAAAGACACATAGACTGGTCATTCCTACCTTTTGTTACGTTCAAATTTACTGCCGTTCAAAAAAGATGCGAAAATATAAGTATATATAAGTATAGACATGAGAGAGTTGCCACAAGTGTAGAACCTGAAATTCATTTCCTGCGCAGTGTACATTCAAGACTGTCCCGCCATCATTGTCGACACTTTTGGTTTCACCCGCACTCCAGTTTAACCTACTATCTCTAGTGTTCGTGCGTACATGATTATTTGTGTAGATCTTTTACCCTACATAGACTCAATAACTACGTAATCTTCATATACTTAACTAGGCAGAAAAACTATCAGTGCTGCGATGTAAATCACTGTTAATAAACAGAGATAAGTTAAATAAGGCAAAGAAACGAAAATAAATCTTTATTAACGGTACAGCATAAGAACAATTGTGCTTAAATCATGATTTTGGAAGGTGAACAATACGAAACGTTCTCAACATCAAACAAACAGCAACAATGGCGGAATGCCTGATATTGGAAATACACTTTCACATAAGCTTCACACCAAGAAATCCAATCAAACTAATTTGTGATTCCTCAAAACTAGATGAAAAAATGTGCTTAATTCATCGTCGTCATAATGTTATTGCTTTATATCTTGTTATAATCAGTATGACAGAAAGTAAGTCGTAAGAATGTATTTCATGAAATACATTATCATAAATAAGTATGCACTTCCATGAACCCCCCATATTCTGCTACATACTTCAGTTTTATATTCTATATTTAACTTTGTTAATCATGTAAATAAAAGCAAAGTCTCAGCTTATGTGTGCCCTACAATTTCCATATAAACAATTTCATACACTTACTACAAACTGAAATTTAAGAATTTAATTCATAGGGAATGCATTTCCAGTAACGTCAACGCAGCATCAATTAGACTAAAAACGACAGTACAAAAGAGAAAGGCAAATGGACTGGTTAGGCAGTACTTAAAATTTTAGGCACATCGTTTACCCTAAACATCGGTTCAGTCATCTCTGTCACGTTTAAGTGGTTTTTGGGTCTCTGTTACTAATATAGTGACTCTTGCTCTCACTTTATTGATTAAAACAGGTGTTTTTTTTTCATTACTATTTTCCGTTAGGATGATGTTTGTACACACCGATACAGATTCATCAATATACAGTTGTAATAAAACGTTCACGAATTGGTATATTGTTATGACTATTTAAATGATACTGAACTACCTACATTCCAACATTTTTAAAAAATCGTCGATGTGATATTCATGCTGGTGTATGAATGGATATATATTCCCGATTATGTAGTAGATATGTAATACTCGTTTATTAACATTGGATGGCTTAATTGTTACGTATAGATATATAGTTAGTGTTGAGCTTTGTTCAAATAAGGTGGTGTTATTAATCAAAAAGATGACTGTTAGCAAGTTTGTAATACAATACCACCTCGACAAAAATCGTCTCAGCGTTCTGTTAATAAAAACGTCGCCCCAATTGATACTGAATTTTGATCTTTAACCAAAGATTGTAGCTAAGCTGTAACAAAAGACATCCAAGATATTCACTCATTTAAATATTTTTTTAGAATTGTCATATGATATTTACAGTTAGATACAAAACAAGATGTTAATAACATTATTATCGCATATTAAATGTCTCATATAAATGCTATTTTCAAACTATGTCGCCAGATATGCAGAGAATACCATATAAGAAATGAAACTCAGTGTGGTTTCGGTTCGAAACTATTGCAGGAACTTTATTGGTTGAAAACAGGATGACAACAACGCTAATTACGTTTCATATTCAGTTTATAAGAAATAAAACATAGCAAAATGCAAAGTCGGTAATGTTCTCACGAAGATAACACCTAAAGCTGGAACTAGAAACCGGATGGACGACGTTAATCAAAAGGGCATCGGGACGGTGTTAGCCGTACCGTTTAAATGGTAATCATCAGGATTCCATAACTTATACCACTGATGTCGTACTGTGTACGAGAGAGAAGCGCGAGAAATGTGCAATACCTATGTTACAAAGAGATAGAAGCACTACGTTGCCTAGCAGCCCGTGTAATGAGACCACCGACGCATCTGTGGCTTCTGCCATCGGCACATTTTTTTACCACATGCTTTTTGCGCTTCTCTCTCGTACATATTACCTCGTCAGCGATATTCGAATTTCTTTGTATATCTTGTCGAAGAACGCTAATCTGATCCTTAATACGCCACCTACAGAAATGATTTAGGATTCAAAAGTCCAAACTCAACCATGCATGTCAGCTCCTAGACGTTTTACTGCGGTTTCGGTTTCGACCTGCACGTGTTTGCATAAGGTTTCATTTCAAAAAGTGTTACACACGCCTTGACAAAATCCGTTCTGGAAGTGAATGATCTTCAAATGAAACCGTCTTCTGTAGCTCAACCGTTGTTCAACAAATATAACTCTCTATCTTCTTAGCTGACAGAAAATAGCAGTCGTTCAAGAATTCCATGTATGAAACATCGACTAAGAATTAGGATCACCCATGTCATTGGTCATTTGTCCCAAAAACGAGATTAGCCTAAGGCGAATGTCTTATAATCAGTGTTTACTCTGTCGTTCGTACCATCGGTATTTAGCGATTACTCAGTCAGTGTCAGTGGATTTCTACGAATACGTCATTAAAGACGCGTCCACACAGAAGCAACATGAAGCAACATGACTATCGACTTTTGTCGCACTATGTTTCTTGACATTAAAAATTTTGTAGGAAAAGGAAACTTTACTGTCCACACAAATGAAACTTGTCTATGGAGGTTTCTAGTCAGTGAAACAAATGTCACAAATATAGGGAAATGAAGTGTCCACACAAAGGAAACTTGTTTTAGTTTAGTCAACATTATCGACTCTATAGCGTGTGTGTGGTGTGAAAGTTTAAATAGTAATTATAAAATAGGGATGTGGGATGAAGATGATGCATTAATAGCTGCAGCAGCTTTCGTTATTTTAAGTGAAAAAAAACGTAAGCGCGAAAGGTGATGTTGGGTACGGCCTTCATTACAGGATAGATCTCACACGGGAGGAGGCAGTCTTTTGAGAGGTTTGATCGCTGGTGATCAGTTGACTTGTGGTGGTCGTCTGAAAAATTTTCTGAGAATGTCAAGCACTGACTTTGAGATTCTTCTCAACAAAATAGGACCAATTGTTTCAAAACAGGACACAAACTGGAGGCGCGCTATTTCTGTGAAAGAATGTATGTTGATTGCAATAAGATTTTTGGCAACAGGTGATTCCTACCACTCCATGACGTACCTTTTTAAAATATCAAAACAAGTAATATCTCTTATAATACCAGAAGTATGTGATGCCCTTTGTCAAGTACTTGAGGATCAAGTGAAGGTAAATAAGTAAAAACAAACTTAACTTTTACACCTTTATTGTAAATTAACATGCATTTGGTATACAAATAACTCATTAACAACAACAAAAATCGTTATTCTTTTGTAATCTAAATTCCGCAATGCTTGCGAAATAATATCATTTTCAAAATTTCCATCCATTCTATTATCGTTCTGTTCTATATTTATGGTATTGGGAGTGATGGTATTTGATAAGGCAACTGGTATGATGGGGGGAAAGAGTTTTCTGACTCTGTACCATGCAAGGAAGGTGAAGTAATGGGTGTGCATACGGAGGAGCGAACATCAGATAGCGATGCTTGTGGCCTACTTTGAGAATATTGTGGTGGATAGTCGTATTTTCCCATATTAGCTTCAAACAAAATGTTAGAAATCATATGCTCTACTGTGTTTCTGGCATAATCGGTTTTTAGATTTCTTAGTTTATTGCTAACAAGTTCACCGAAAATATGAAAACCATCTCTCTCCATTTTATTATGATATATTGTTTTCATTATTGCAAACGCTTCCTGTTGCTCGTGGTCAGCTTTAGTCTTTTTCATATATTTCATCTGTTTTCGCTTGATGATTTTGATTTATGTTCCTGTGTTTTTGATGCACTGTAATGAGAAGCCTTGCTGCTTGCCGAAGAAGGGCCTGCGTGTACAGAACTGGCGTTTGAAGTAACTTGTCTGGATGTAGGTGAAGAAACTGGTTTTTCCTGGTGTTCATCAGTATCTTGAACAATCTCGTTGGATACCCCAGAATTCCTATCCAGCTCTATTTCTTGCGAAGCGTCATCCATGTCACTGCCAATTTCATCACAAGAAGGATATGTATTCTTTTCCTGTAAAGAAAAAAGAAAACACTTTGAGCAAATGTGTCGGATTATTTGAATTTTATGACCTAATTTTTTTCCTAGCTTTAAAATTTACTATTTGGTATAGCATGAACAATTTCTTTCTTTAGGGAAGTCAGCCCACTTTTATCATTTTTGTTACAGTTACCAAGAAATGAACAGGAGTGGAGATCTATATCTAATGAATTTTACTCTCGATGGAATTTTCCACAATGCGTCGGAGTAATGGATGGAAAAGATGTGATGGTTCCACAGAAAAGCGGAAGCGAATTTTTCAACTACAAAGGATTCTTCAGCATTGTTCTTTTTATTGTAGCGAATGCAAATTACCAAGTTATATATTTCTCTGCTGGATCTCAAGGAAGAATATCAGATGGTGGAGTTTTTGGAGCTACTACTTTTGGGAAAAAATTGATGGAAAATAAATTAAACTTGCCAGAAAGAACACCATTGACTGGACGCCAAGAAGCAGTATCTTATGTATTTTTAGGAGACGATGCGTTTCCTTTGACACCCAATATACTAAAACCATATCCTGGGTGCCAAGATAAAGGGTCAGCAAGAAGAATATTCAATTATCGTCTCAGCAGGGCACGCAGAATTTCTGAAAACGTGTTTGGAATTGTGTCTGCCAGATTTAGGGTACTACGAAAGCCAGTCTTGGAACCCGAGAAAGTTAAAAAAAATCATCTCAACTTGTGTCTATCTAGATAATTATTTAAGAAATAGTAATCAGTCTAAGCTTCACTACACACCAGGAGGCACATTTGATTCTGAAGATAATGATACTGGCGAACTTATACCTGGTAACTGCAGAAGAGACACAGGAGGAGACAGTACGTTTCATCGTTTGCAAAATGTAGGACGTAAATCATCACTAGAAGCTAAAAATGTGCGAGAAGAATTTACGAATTTTTTCCAGACACCACCTGGATCAGTGTGCTGGCAAGAAAATTGTTAATAATCACGCTTTCCAAAAAGGGGAGGTCAAGTTTCGTTTAGAGAAAATTCGCTAGAATCAGTTTGCGATTTTTTTTTGTAACCGACTTACGCTAAACGAAACTTGAGTCATATAAAAACCGCTTGCTATGTATGGAATATAATAAATGACAAAGTTATGACTTACCTGACTTTGCATTCCTCCTTCCATACAGGAGTGTACCTTGTTCTCATCCTTCAGGAAGAGCATGTAGTTGTAGGCAAACCACTTCGACACAAAAACCGATGCAGCACCAGATTTTTTGTCTTTTCGATATTTCATTCGCTCTCTATAAAACTGCCCGGTTAAATTCTTTATTTTTCGTTAAACTTCCGTAACATCACATTCTACAGCTTCAGCGATGTTTTTCAGAGCATCATATCTTTTATTTGCACATTTGTGATCTGCATTTTTAGATTACACAAACATTCCGCATCTTTATATATTTCTAGTAGTAATATTGTTTTATCATTTGTCCAACGGGCCATGTTTATTATTAACACTATCGATAAGCAACTGATTACTGATGACAACCGACCACACCGCAGAAACACGAGTCGCAAGTCTCAGCTTGTCGACACCCGTTACTCCAATTTCTTTGAAGTTTACCGCTCGGCGAGCGAAACACGCGACGCAGGGTCGCATCCCGATATGCGACATAAACAACCAGAAACATTTGTCGACAAAGAGCAGCTTTGTTTCTAGAAACTAGTCATTGATGACAAATGTTGCTTATTGTTGCTTCTGTGTGGACGCGTCTTAATGCTTGACAACAAATATCAATTGCAATGATAAATACTAACGGATCAAATTACTCTGGTCGCCTAAGAAACCATCACGAAAGGTCTTCATATTAAAGTGATCTGGAATTTATCAGTACATTCCTGGGATACTAAAAATACTATATAAACACACTATTCCATACTGGGCATGCCTATAGTGACCTCGCGATACAGAATTGTATTTTAACACCGCCATATATACAGGGTGTTTCAGAACTAAGGGATCAAACTTCTAGTGGTTACGCAGTGTAACAGTAGAAAACTTTTGAGTTTAGGGACCCATAACCGGAAAAGTGTCACTACGGCACTACGGCCCTAAACCTACACCGATTTAAACGTCGCACATGATTTCGGCGGACTTGACTAAAAATTTGATACTCGTTTTGAATGATTTCAAATGCTGCTGTAATTCGTCTAATTAAGTCTTGCTCTGTTTCTACTGGAGTTTCGTAAACCAAAGACTTTAAATGTCCCCACAGGAACGGTGTATTCAGGTTTGAACAATTTTTGTGATGATGTCATGTACAAAAGGCAAAAATTAAATGCATTAAATCCTATTTAGGCAATTCATCGTCTTTCTAAATTTTAACGCGTCTTAGGACCGTAGAGCCGCAATTTCGCTTTTCCGGATATGGGTCCCTATACTAAAATGTTTTCTACTGTTACACTGAATAACCTCTACAAGTTTGATCCCACAGTTCTGAAACACCCTATAGATATAAATTTTAAGTGTGAAATGCTAACGTAGCTGTTTTTATTTCAGGCTCAATTCGAACCCTTTGCCACACTCCTCCACCACAGTGTCCATCTCAACCGTGCCTTAACGGCGGCGTCTGTTCTGAAGGATGGAATAGATTTGTCTGCGACTGTGCAGACACGCCGTTTGGTGGTCCTACTTGTGGTAAGGAAGCTGCAACATTATCTTTCAACGGCTCCCAGCATATGGCTGTCACTATGGATCAGGAGCAGATTACGCAGACTGAAGATATCATTCTCAGGTTTAGGTAGGTAGCGCAAAACTGTTGTGGGACTTCATCGGAAACTATTAAAAAAAATCAGTTATTCAACATTCATGACCGTTCATGATGTTTATTTTGAAATAAATGCAGAAATCTTCTGATACGGTGTTAGCATACGTAGACATTTGCTTGGAGCCTTAGAGTTGCGCATATTGGGAGACGGCAAGAGGGAGTGATGAAAAAGATTTTCTCTCGGAGATACCTGATTACAGAGTTCGTAAAGTTCAAAATTCCAGCTAAAACTGACACTCACCCTGACCAAGAGGAGGACTCTAAGAGCTTAGTTATTTGAATTACATGAAAAAAAAATGTATTTTCTTTTTTTGATCAAAGAAGGACAAATCATTGACTCCTATTTTGACCAAGGTAGATCATCCAACTAATCAGCCATGCCAGCAATGTTAAATCTAGCCTCCAAAATTCAAGCCTTATGTGCATTATTCCCGTACTAAATTAGGCGGTGAAAAGATTTCATGCACCCTAGATCCCTTATCGTTCTCCTCGTTTTTCACCCCTTTCCTGAGATAATAAGTATTTTGACTGTATACAAAAGCAATATGTTTGTTTTTTATTGTTGACCTTCATCACACGTAACACAATATAAAATAAAAGTTTCAAATTGAATTGACGCCACTGCGGAATCCCAGAGTTTACTCTCCAGTACAAGAAAGAAAAACTCTTGCTACCGTCCAGTAATGAGAGGCGTCGGCATCTTCCGGCTACTAAGTAACATCGATTGTATCATCGTAACTGAAAAAAATGCTATGGAATAACAATGAATGCTGGCGGCATTACAAGGCATTCTCTGTCGGAAGAGAAATTATTTTCAATACTTGCTCATGCCGTGCCCTAGTTGTTGAAAATAACTTGGGCTAGGTTCATATAAACTTTTCTGTTGCAGAACAAGTAAGCCCTTAGGGCTGTTACTGATAACAAGTACTGCAGAAACTGGAGACCGTATTGAATTAGCTGTTGCCGCTGGAAGAATAAGACTAGCGTTGAGATTAGGCGTGAGGGAGAAAAAGAAAGAAGATCGAGAAAAGGATAAGGTATGTGTGCTAATTCTTTATACTACACATCAGTGCAGATCGTGATTGAGGAAAACTGTGTTGCTTAGCACCTTGAGATCGTTCAGCCAATGTAAAGCGGTCTAGTGGTGCAGCGCGTTTAAGCTAAATAGCAGCAGCCATGGAATAACTTTATCACTTTTACAACAGTTTTCACAGTCAGATTTTATAGCATGATAATGAATGTTCCGAACTGTCAATGTTATTGTATGTCTTCTGTTATTTAGCACAAAAGCGCTGCACCGATGGATTGCTTCATGTTGGCTGAACTCCTCCAATGACTGCTATGTCAGTCACTGGGGACTAACACTGAACTATTCCAACAGTGCAGAGTCAGTCATCAGGCCTGGCAATACACCTACCTTTAACTTGTTATTTAGCGTTGTCAAACAGGAGTTCGGTATTTAATTGTATAGGTTTGTCTCATGCGAAATGCATCGAAATACAGGGTTTGTCCGGAAAGTAATAGGACTCATTTTCTTCCGCCATGACTGTACTTTGGAGAGTGCGCGCACCGACTGGATTAGGGCGTTCCTAGCTAACGAATGAGCGGCTGGTCAGTTGTCTCCGAGCACTTGGAGAGTCAGGACAGGCATTTTTGCGCGACGTGTTTCTGTGAGTGGTGCAAGCCGAATGCTCATTGTCTTTTTTGACATCAAAGGCATCGTCCACCATGAATTTGTTCCTCCTGGACAAACCGTCAACGCCAAGTTTTTCGTGGAAGTGCTCAGGAGACTCAAGCGAAGGGTCAGTCGGGTCCGACAAGACATCGCAGCCGACTGGAAGTTATACCACGACAACGCCCCGACTCACACCGCCTTTCTTGTGAACAGCTACCTGACCAAGGCCGGCATCCC